CAGCCCTGGGAGAAGGCTGGGGCAGGGAAGGCTGAGCTGATTCGGGGGAAGTGGCTGCAGCTGTGGCCACGCCCCAAACAGACTCAGCTGGCCCTATAAAGGCAGGGAGCCAGGAGCTCAGACAGAGTCTCTCTCTGCACTCAGAGAGAGAAGGGCCTGGCTGCAGGGAGCTAAGACAGAGTACCTGGGTGGAGCAGGGCTGGGGAAAGGCTGAGGAGCTGGGGAGCTCCAGCCTGGAAAGCCCCAGGCTGCGGCCTAGCATTAGGCTAAGGGGTACTGGGGGTTGCAGAGGGCAACCCAGGTGTAGGCCAAGGCAGCAGGTCCAAACCCTCCTTGCCTGTGATGAGTGGCTGACACTGCAGTTTGCCCCAGGGAGTGGGGCTAGATGGTGACTGGCAGTAGCCTTATTCTGAGGCGAGGTGGGGTTAGTGGGTGGGAGTTCCCCTGGGAGGGGAGACCCAGTGTGTGTGGGTACTGCCAGGGGGCAGCACCCAGAGCAAGGGGCACCCGGGTCCTGGGAGGGACACAGGGCCTAGTAGAAGTGACAAGGTGGATCACCGGCCTGCAGAGGGCGCTCTGGAGGCTGGGTCGAGCTAATTCCCCGAGAGACCAGCAGGAGGCGCCGCAGGGGTGAGTCCGACCCCTTACACAGTATCACCCGGGTCTGCAGCTAGTGATGGCTTCCATCATTTGGTCAATAATGGGGTTGAACAGATCATTTGAGGGCAGCCACGCACATTGAATGGACGTCACTGCTGTGCTCAAACCAACTGGATATCCTACTGCCTAAACAGTCACAGCTCTCACTTTGGCAATGCATTTCTACAAGAAGATTGAGGAGCTTGCTAGGTACACCAGTAACTTTTCAGGCACAGCCAAAGGAGTGACAATCAAAAGAGTCAAAGGCAGCGTTCAAATCAATAAAGGCTATATACACCTTACCCTTCCTCCTACTATTCCCTCCAAAATAAATCCTGTGTTCACTGAAATTAAAGAAAATCAAATCAAATCAAATCATGGAAGCATTTTTATTCATATGCCGTTCTTTAAACCACCTCTCTTTTCCCACCCATCCCTTTAAAACAAAAAACAAAAAAACCCATGGAGACTAAAGCCATCTCACTGGTGTCCCTTTAATCTCTAAAAGATAACTAATTTCTCTACGAGCAGAGTGAACCAGCTTTGGACATAATTTACTCTGAAAAATGCAGGAACATCTGTATATCATGAAAAACATTCCTCACCGTTTCAAAAGACTGATGGATTTTAATTCCAAGTACACAGTGGCCTTCAACAATGATTTCCATTTCTGTGCTACCGCTAACCCTCCGGATAAATGTGTCAAGAATTTTAGGAATTGCTTTTCTGAGTTACTGGTGCAATAACTTTAGTTTGAAATTCTCAGGTCTCTCATAGTTTACCACTGAAACTTTATTAACTTTCAGAGCTGTGGCCAAGCAAGTATTTTATGTCACTGGAATTCAAGACAGGGGAAGGGTAGGCTCACTTGAGGCCAGATTCATTACAAACCTTCAGAGTTTGTGGTGCAACTTCCTAGAAATGGATTTGTTTAGGTTCAAGTATTCTATGTGAAAAAATGGGTAATTCTCAGTCCACTTCCTAGTAGAGAGGTGGGCACATCACAAAAAACACTATAAATATGACAGTAACTGGCAGATTTATCAGGGACATCAAACAAGGAGTGAATGACCCAATGGAGAGAAGCTGTCCTCATGCCTAGAAGTGGATCATTATAAAGGAAGATTGGTGGATCAGAATGGGAGAAGATTCATGGTCCACAGTGTAGTTGTTCTATAAATACAGACCAGACATCATGCTCTAGATCTATCACACTGGTATGTTTTTACAGCATCACATTCACTCTAAAATCTAAAAACAAACAAACAAAAAAAAAAAACCAACCCCCCCCCAAACAAATAACCTTCACCCCCACTCTTGACCTGTAGCAGGATATGCTGTAGGGTAAATTATATCTGCTGGTAGGTTAACTATTTGTATTTCCATCACACTATTACAGCAACCACATTTTTGTGACACTTTAGAAATCATTTTATCAAGGTAGCAGTAAGGGGTTTAAACTGTTATTTAGGCAAGAAGAGGGGAAATATCCAATGTGGAGTCGTGCTCAATAACTGTTGGACATGTAACCCTCTCCGCTCCTACAAACAGGATACAGTAAAACAAGATTCAGATTCACATAACACCTTTTATTTGAAGGGTATCTTCCGAAGTGCTTTTCAAAACAATGAATTAAATACTGGCATGTCAACGGCTGTATGGAAAAAGGCTTCAGCTGCTGGGCACACAGCAATAACTCACATGCAGCAATGAGTATTAAAACCTGTGTTATCAAGAGAGGACACCAGGAGTATCTCCCTAATCTTTATCCTATGAGATCTTTAGTGTCTTCCTGGACACCTATCAAATAGCAGAAGAGACCACAATTTAATGTCTTCTAATCTGAATGACGGCACTGTTCACAGGACGGTGGCTCCCTCTCCCTGTCCCGCTATTGCATTGGGAACAATCCCAAGTCCTCGTCCAGGCTTGGGCTCTGAACATTGTTGCTCAGAGATGACTAAGCAAGATTGACATTGAGCAATGACTGCTCTCTCTCCTGATACACAGTGGGCCAAATTCAACACTGTTGTAATTCCAGTAGAGTCACTAGAGTTACACCAGGGATGAATTTGTTTCAATGGTTCTAATATTTAGAATATAAACAACAGCTCAATAGGCAGATTAAAAGTGTCATGATTTTCTGACGTTGCCCAAGAATTTGAGTAAAGCAAAACCCTTGATCCAAATATTCTCAAACTTTGGAAAACTTCAGACCCAGATCCAAACTCTGCCACCCGGGCCCATGTCACAGTTTGAGAGGAGCAAGTGCTTGCAGAAGGGCTGGACTGGACTCTCGGAGTTCATTAGTGCCAGTCTTCCATAGTCAGAAGGATCACTGCAGGACTAAAAGAGAACCTCAGTCCCCAACATGGGCCAAACACGTTACCTCCTCTACACTCTTTAGGAAGAAGAGAACAGTCCTGGGAATAGAATGCTGGGCACTTTAATGGCATTGGTTGCACAGCACCAACCACAGGATTAAGGCTTTCTGGTCACCCCCCAAACTATCCTAAGCATTCCCACAATCCCAACTCTCCCCAAACCTCACAGTTACAATCCAGCTCTTTTTTACCTCCCAAGCACTAGTTTTGCTTATACACAGCATCAGTTTCAGTGGACACAGTAAGATTTTTTTTGGTAAGAACTTGACTTTTGGGAGATATTTATAATTTTAGACCCCCTACAGTTGTTCACAAAGTATTTAATTTGGGGAGGTACATTACCGATTAATACCGACCAATACACTAGTGCATTAAATGTCATTTTGCATGCTTCTCTGGATAACATGAGCATCAAGATGTTTGAGTGCAAGCAGTCACAATACTTTCTGGAAAGCAGAGTGTTCTGAAAAAATGATCAGCTAGAGGCAGAAATGGAATCTCAAGCTGAAAAATGCATGCCCTACATATGCCAGTCTGACTGCATGGTTAGAGGATTTTGATAATCCCTGCCCCAGATGTATGTGCACAAACTGGTTTGTTGGGGTATTTGTCCCTCAGTGTGGAGGTGTAATAAAATACTTAACTGTATCAATGATTTTATCCTCAATCCTGCCCCAGTCCGGAGCTCCCTCCCACACCCTGAACTCCTCATTTCTGGCCCTACCCATCCCCAGCCAGAGCCCTCACCCCCTCCCACACCCTAACCCCAATTCCATGAGCATTCATGGCCCACCATACAATTTCCATACCCAGATGTGGCCCTCAGGCCAAAAAGTTTGCCCGCCCCTGCTCTACACAGTGACCAAGGGTGGAATGAGCCACAGAGAGTGAATTGTCCATTCATGTCCTTTTGTTCCTAAATATAAATCTGTATTTCCTGTAGGTCAGGATTGTGGCATGTTTGTGGGGAGGAGGGAGACTCACATTGTTACGGCTTGTGTTTATACCTGTTCTGTAAACATACAATGTCAGGGCCAAATATAGGGGTGATGTGTTAAGATGCCGAAAATTGCATGTTAAGTAAGTGCCACGATATCTAAGTAGGTGTAACTTTGATGCTGAGTGGCTGGGAAAGTGGGGTGCAGCAGCAAAAACAGGAAGTCGGAGGGTGAGAGGTTTGCATGTAAGGGGTTGGTCTTTAATTTTCTTCCAACCTCTCAGTGAATACATTATGCCAGGATAGACTCAGACTCCATTGTTCCCACTTACACTTGCTTAGCAACATGTAACTTACATTGCCTTACACATCATTTCTGAATTTGGCCCTTAGTCTCCAGGGCCATAGTCAAGTTAAAAGAAAAAAAAGTACAAACTAAGGGAACAGTACAGACAGGGAAATGGGCCATTTTAATTTTAAAACTCATACGCATTTGGAGTTCCAACCAGCTACATAGAAGCAAAATACATTACATCAAACAGATATAAAGTCTGGTAAATACAGCTATTCAGCAATCCCCCCTCCCCCCCCCCCAACCACCCCCCGAGGATAATGTATTGCCTGAATCTGTATAACAGACTTTGTTGGTGAAAGGCAGGAAGGAGTGATATTTAGAGAAGGCGTGCATGTGTGTGACAGATTTCACAGCTCACTTTGCAAAGGAAGTTGGGCTCCTTTTAAACAGCCGCAAGACATCTGCAAGAGATCTCAGAGCTGAGAAGTGTGGCAGATGAGAGAGAGAACCCATCATTAGCTGATGTTATTCATTTGTCATGACATCTCCATTCTTTGGAAAAAAAATTTCTTAGAGGTTTATTTTTGCAGTCTAAGGAAGCAAAGGCCACTGGTGGGGCATCATAAGGGGACAGTATGATAAGCCATGGGAGCTGCTATGTTTGGACATGTGTGCCTTGTAAAATAGCCTCCTTTCTTACCACTCTTGTCCTGTGTTGTTTCCTTTTGCTTTGTGACGAGACCAGATGGGTGCTTCTGCAGAAGAGAGTTGGACACCTTAAGAAACCTTTTCGGATCTCACTGGAATATGTTGCTAGTGGGAACAGGAGTGTAGCTGCCATGGACTCCTTTGCAATGAAGAACTGCAGTTCAGGTAACGTAGAGTGTTCCAGTCTTTCTAACTCATTGTGTCTTGTTACCTTTTTAGGCAAAAAGGGTTTTGTCAATTATACAATCTTCTTCATATAGTAGAAAGTTCTATTATAGCTAACTTAGTCTCCCCTAAGCGTTCAATGCAGTACATGACATTTTAGTTTTCTGGAAAGTTTAATGATAGCACTTCCATTAAATACAGGCTGTATCATAGCACTTCACTTCAATGTTTCACCCCAGAGGTGGCCACATTTCAATTTAGCTGTATGTATGCAGTTTGTGAATCATGTTGGAATCCTCAGGTATTATATGTAAATGAAGAGTATTATTAGTGGTAGTACTTAGTCTATTGGTTTTTGTGGGTTTTATTAAAATATGTCTAGAAAATAGGGATTAGGAAAATTGGTGAAAGTTGATTTAAACGTGTTCCTTTTTCAAACTCTCCAGGACAGAGAAATCTATTGAAGACTATACATAATTTTGATCATTATTTGCATTGCCATGCCCAAAAGCGCAGTTACGATTAGAGCCTTGTTGTGTTAGCACTGTACAAACACATAGTAAATTGCTATCAGTTCCAGGCAGAGAGAATCCGTGGTGCTGAACATGCAACATTCCAGGTGGAATGTTCCTGCTGTGCTGCTGAATGTGTCGTACTGTACATGCCATCCCAATGAAGATAATGGACAACCTCAGCACAGTTGGTTCAAGTTAAAAAGAATGTGTTTTTAGGCATCGGGAAAAAAATAAGAGGGGGCTGATGCTCATTCAAACACCTAGCTGCTTCAATAATTTGTTTCAACAAGAAATGCTACCCTATGATTTCATGACACGAAGGTAAACTGTGGCCGTGTACATAACACAATTAATATTAACAACAAGGGGGAAGAAACGCAAGCCAAAATAAGGAAAGAACAGGTTCAAGAATATTTAGATATGGTAGATGTGTTGAAGGGCTTGATGAAATTCACCCTAGGGTACTTTAGGAACTAGCTAAAGCAATCTTGGACCCATTAGAGGTCATCTTTTGAAAACTCCTTGATGATGGGTGAGACTGGAGAAGGGCAAATATCGTACCTATCTTTAAAAGAGGGAAATAATGGTTACCTGGGGAATTATAGACCAGCTGTCTAACTTCAATACCTGGAAAGATACTGGAACAAATTATTAAACAATCAGTTTGTAAGCTGCTAGAGGATAATAGGGTTGTTAGTAATAGCCAACATGGATTTGTCAAGTATAAATTATGCTAAACCAACCTAATTTCCCCCTTTGACAGGTTTACTAGCCTAGTGGATGGGGGAAGCTGTAAATGTGATATATCTTGATTTTAATAATGCTTTAGACACAGTCCCCCATGACATTCCCATAAACGAACTAGAGAAATATGGTTTAGATTAAATTACTATAATATTGGTGCAAAACTGGTTGAAAGACTGTGCTCCAAGAGTCGTAATCAGTAGTTCACTCTCAAACTGGGAGCATGAACCTAGTGAAGTCCTGCAAGGCTCAGTTCTGGCTCTGATACTATTCAATATTTTTATTAATGACTTCAATAATAGAGTGGAGAATATACTTCTAAAATGTATGGATTATGCCAAGCTGGGAGGGGTTGAAAGCACTTTGGAGGCCATGTTTAGAATTCAAAATGAGCTTGGTCTGAAATAAACAAGATGAAATTCAACAAAGACAAGTGCAAAGTATTACACTTAAGAAGGAAAAATCAAATGCAAAACTGGGAATAACTGGCTAGGCAGTAGTACTGCAGAAGAGGATCCGGGGGTTATAGTGGATCACAAATTGAATATCAGTCAACAATGTGATGCAGCTACAAAAAATGTTAATATCATTCTGGGGTATTGTGACCTCCCCAGGATACAAACTGGACTTTTGAACCGTGGTGTCCTCTTAGTTCTCCAGACCAGGGTGTCTCTCCCATTGCCTTGCGAGTGAAAAGCTGCCTCCCCAGGCTTTGCTCCCACACAGCCATCAGCATGTAAAGGCACACACAAAGTTACACGAATGCTTTCTCAGCCAGTCATGAACAGATACACGGCAACACATGCATATCCCTCAGCCCCAGCCTTGCACGCCAGAAATGTGCTGCTTACACTGCTCCAGACCCCCTTGGACAGGGCAAGCCCTCGTAAGTCTGTCATGTTATCAAAGAAAATGAATATGCCCCAGCCCTTTTTAAACTGAGCAGAGATTCCCCAATCACTTCAATCAAAACACACTGGTTTAGATAAAAGAATAAAACAAGTTTAGTAACTGAAGCAAGATAGCTAGATTTTAAGTGCGGATAAGTGATGCAGCTATAAAAAGTCAGAATTGGTTACAAAAGAAATAAAAGATAACTACACGGTCTTATTCCTAAACCTTTACCAAGCTAAGAAAAATTTTAAGCAAACAGCTTTTTTCACCACTTTGGATGTTGCAAGCAGTTCATGGTTGTTAGTACACAAGCTGGATTGGCTTCCCTGCCTGGAACCAATCTCCCCAGTTCAAAGTCTTTCAAGCATTCTTGTTGCCATAGAGATGGGGGAAGAGAAAGGCCAGAGGCCTTTGTTCCCCCTTTTTATATCCTGACATTTTTTACTGGAAAAGTCCTTGCTGGGTTATGTGGTCAGGCAGTTCCATAGCATACGTGACCTGCCAGCTGTCCTTCAGGTGAACTGTACATTTCTTGTTTACAATTCCCCTGCTGATGAATGACTGGTTAAGCAGACCGTGCTCTTAGCACCTGGCTGGGTGTTGGCCACCCCTGTGTTGTCTCTGAAGAGCTAAACTGTGGGTGTTCCCCAGAATTACAACATGCTCCAGTTACAAACATATAGCAAAATCGAATATCACCATATACAATGTTGATACACACATTTTAACAGGAAAATGATGGTCAATTGATACCTCAGAAGGCATATTTGGTACAAGGTTTATCATAATTTTGTAAAAGTGGTGACCATAATAATGTAGACTGTCACAGGTATATTAACAGGAGTGATGTATGCAAGACATGAGAGGTAATTGTCTCACTGTACTCAACACTGGTGAGGTCTCAGCTGTATTACTGTGTCCAGTTCTGGGCACCATACTTTGGGAAAGATGTAGATGAACTGGAGAGCAACAAAAATTATAAAAGGTTTACAAAACCTGTCCTATGAGGAAGGGCATATTTAGTCGTGAGAAAAGAAGCCTGAGGGGGGACCTAATAAGTCTTCAAATACAGTAAGGGCTGTTATTAAGAGGACAGTGATCAACTGTTCTTCATGTCCACTGACAGTAGGACAAGAAGTAATGGGCTTAATCTGCAGCAAGGTTAGGGAGATTTAGGTTAGATATTAGGGAAAACTTTCTAATTATAAAGATAGTTGAGCATTGGAATAGGCTTCCAAGGGAGGTTGTGGAATCCCTATCACTGGGTTTTTGAACAGCCCACATAACATGTTGTGGACCGCATATGCGGCCCACAATTGTAAATAGGTTGAGAACCACTGGGGTAGACAAACACCTGTCAGGGATGGTCAAGGAGGTTTACTTGGTCTTGCCTCAGCATAGGGGGCTGGACTTGATGACTTCTCAAGGTCTCTTCTAGCCCTATCTGTCTATGATGCTATGATATCCTGCTGGTACCGATTCAGATTATATTTCCACAAGCTCTCCTTTCCTGGAGCCAACAGTCCATGTAACAACTGAAAGGTAGCCTTAGCTGAGCCCTAATCAGGCAATAGAAGGCATTGTGGCCTGCTGAATTATTAATATCAGTGGCAGTGGGCATACAGCATTACCCAAAGCAAACATTTTCAATTGCTTTGAAGAGGGATTGACACCTTTCTTAAGGTCAGGGCCAGTGCAAGGATGTTTCGCGCCCTAGGCAAAACTTCCACCTTGTGCCCTCCCCGAGCCCTGCGGCAGCTCCCCCCCCCCCCCCCCCCCCCCCCCC